CCACCCCCTCTTCCCCAGTCTACCACATAGGTTAACCTATAAAATGTTCTCCACTAGTTTTAAGAAAAATACAAAGTGTGTGTGAATGTTTTATTAGGTATCACGATGCTGGCTGACTTGTGGAATGGGAAGAACAAAGAATGTAGAAGGGCAAACCAAGCCCACAAGCTAAGTCACCATTTCACAAGTCTGTACGCATGTGTTTAACTTTACACTGAAAAAGGAACTGGCTCCCAACTTCCACAAACGATGACTAATGGAGTAGACTCATGAAGAAACAGTAAATATGTCCAGCAACAAAGCTATTAGATAAATTCACATAAATAAATGTATGGCTACACGTTCTTCTTTACGGCTAAAATGTAATTATCATTTAGAATTACTCAGGTGTGAAGGTACTTGCATATAATTGTGACAACACACAAAGTGGAGTATAAGCTTCTATGTAACATGTGATATGCTTAATGAAGTAAATCCCAAAGTGAAAATTGAGCAATATCTCAAGCACAAAAATCTGTTTCGTAATAGCAACAAGATTTTTACGCAACAGCAACAAAGGAGAACTCAAAAGAAAAACATTAGGTGGTAAGAGCTGCAAGTCAGGTAATGTTGCTGACTGCAATGCTGAATGCCTTAATTTCGGGCGACAGAAAGGGGAAAAAACAAGCAATGAGCAACAGCGACTAGGAACAGGAGATTTAAGCTCTAACACACGGTGGCATAGAGCAGTTAGAGCTTCTCTTGCTCTGAACTCAGACACAGCTTTCAGCACAGTCACAATTAGGTCAGTAGGGATCTGCTGTGGGGCACATTTTTCACAGCAGGCTTGGGGCCAAATATTGTCAGAGCCTCTTCAAATAACTGTTAGGAAAATCCTTCAAAAAAAAAAAAAAAAGAAAAAACACCTTTCTTTCAAATAAAATAGCAAGGAAGGGTAAAATTTACAACAGGGGGGTTGATCAAAGTAACTCAGCTCCAGCATTCAAAACTCGCTGATTGTGAGGGAAGAGGAGAATTTGTACTCGTACTTTTTTTCAGAAACAAACGTTAGTTGCTAGTGAGGAAGTTCCAAGGAAATAAAATACTTTGATACTTGGATGCCAAGCTTTCCTACCTAGCCGAGCCTTGACGTACAGTGAAAGTGTGATGCAGCTACCATTGCAGAAGAGTTTTGTTTACTTCCTAACATTAAAAAGGTCCAAAATGTTTTTTCTCCAGCCCTGCCTGCTGCACACGCAGCCAAGCCACCTTCCAGCACCCCCCAGGCCCCGAGGCTCACCCCCAAACCCCAGCCCTTCCACTCACCAGGCTCCCCCCTGGGGAACCCAGCTGCTCCCTCTCCCCACCTCCCTTCCCAACGTTTTATCACCCCTCAGGGCCTTACCTCCGCCCTCCCCACCCCCCCCACAACTCCCCACGTCCATTTACTTCCATGACACCCCCAAAACCCAAAACCCAAAACCCCAAAACCCAAACCCACTCGGGGGGGGTCTACAGAACCTCCCCCTTCCCCCCCAAACCTCTTACCCTCCCCCAGCTCCCCCCCTGCCCTCCCTCAGTCCCCCCTCCCTAATTGCCCCCCCCACACCCCCATTCTCCCCCTTACCTCCCCCCCCCCATTTCCCCCCCCCACCTCCCCCCTTACCCCCCCAGGCCCCTCCCCGCCCCTCATCCCGCCCCGTGCCCCCTCCTCACGCAGCCCCCACCTCCTAGCGCTGCCATCCTCGGGGCCCCAGCTCCGGCAGCGGGAGGGGGGCGGCCCGTGAGGAAATGTCACCTGCGCCGCTTCCTCCGCGCCGCTTCCTCCCCGCCGCCCTGCCCGCCGCGGAAGCCAACCCCGCGCCGCCGCACCCCCCAACCTGGGCCGCGCCGATTGGCCGGCGCCCCCGCGGCACGCTGGGAAATGTAGTCCGAGGGGACCCGAAGGTAGGCTCTCTGCAACTCGGGGCGCGGGGCGCGCTGGGAGATGTAGTTCCGCCCCGGCGCGCTTGCGCGGTAGGTGTCGTTGTCGGGATGGGGAGGGGAGGGGGGTTGTGGGCTCGGCTCGTCGCCTAGCAACGGGGAGGCGGGAAGCGCGGGGCGGGGCCGCCATTTTGGGGCCCTGAGGCGCCGTGCTGAGGGAGGGCGTCGGGGCTCTGTGACGGGAGCCCCGCAGAAATGGCCCCGCCGTGTAAATAAATCCCTCACAAACGCTGCTTTGTGCTGCCCCTGTCCTGCCGCTCTTAGAACAGCTCCCTGAGTCCCTAAGGGAGAGGAAAGCTGGCCCCCAGCAGGCCGGGGTCGTTGGCTGCCATGGGCACTGCTGGAAAAGCGGCAAGGAAGAGAGAATACCTTACTGGTGCCACAGGGCAGGGCAGTATCATGAGCACAAGGCCCAGAGCTTTTTAGGGCTTTAATCAGGAATGTAATCAGCCTGCAAGCTCATCGTGACAGCAGCCTTTTTTTATTATTATTTATTTTCCCTGTCTTTGTGCCCCCAGTGTGCTAAACCCAGGCAGATCAGCTGTGCTAATCTGTGGAGAGAGCAGCTGGATGGCTCCAGCCAACAAGCGACCATTTTGTTGGCAACGACCTTTAACACCACAAAGCACGTTCCTTTCTCTATCCCGGTGGCAAAGTGGTCACTAGTCACCAGCTGGCTTCAGCTTTCTGCCGTGACTAGCCACCGGTTTCAGTTTTGATAATTGAATCGTTATCAGAAGTTTGCTGTGGAAGAAATAACTTGGTTTTTTGTTTTTTCCTTTATGAAATGCGGTTAACAAAAGAAAAATTACCACGTACTGGAAGAATTCAGAAGGAGAACATATTTTTTATGTTTTAAATCAAAATAGATTCAATACATCTTTGCTGTTCAGCTGCGAAGCTTGTTTACTTAAGAAAAAAAATGCAAACGCACCAAAAACAATTTAGATAAGAGTGTTTGAAATACATTTCCCTTTACCTCTCAGCGCCAGCATACAATGGGTATGTTACCAGTGCTCTGAAGCAGATGAATTTAAAGGCAAGAGTTGTACTGCTCAGTGTCATCTGACTGCTTCATACCTGGATTTGCTTTCACTTGCAAGGAATAGCTTTTCCCTAGTTTAGCAATTATCAGTGGTGTCCAGGTGCTGTCGATAATAACGCTGCACAACACAGGAATGATAGAGGCTCTGATGAAGGAGGTGTAAAAGAAAATAGAACCGCACGTCTGCAAATCGATTCTGCAGTTTTCCAATTTCCCCATTCAGCAATGGCATGGCCTGTGAAATTGTCCCGAGAAATATAAAATGAAGGGAAGGGAGAACACCACCACTCTTACCTTTTAGCAAATGATATTGCCTGATGCAGTTCATTTCCTTTGGTGTGGACACTTAGGCTGGCCTGGATTAGTGTTCAAAATGCAAGCAAAAGGGAGAATGTTTTTTAATATAGGTACTGCATCGAACGGGTACTTTGGCGTAAAAGTGTTCCTTGAAATGGCTTACCTTTGTAAGGTTTCTGCTGAAGGAAATAAATTGCCATATAAACATGCATAAATATTCTTTAAGAGGCATTGATATCAGCGTTTTCTTAGTCTAAAGTCTTTCTCAAGTGTAACAATACACCATCATCCACTCCTGACACTCAGCGGATTTAGCACAAGGTGGCACACCCATGGGAATGCAGGGGCCAAGCATTTTCACCCAGGTGTGAATATTATTTGTCGTCTCTTTCTGAAGTGCAAAAAGCAGCAGATTGCCATGCAAATTGCTCAGAAATCTAGATTTTATAAACTGCGTTTACATTGCATGCAAATGTTAGAACCCATTCTTTCAGAAGTTACAAGATGCTGAGTTCCAGCTCCCTTTATTTCTGCTGCAGCTATTTCTTTCTTCTGTGTTTGCCCGGGAAGCAAGGCAGGCCCGGGATTCGAAAGTAGAACTATAAGTCTGAAAATTGGAGTTTTGCCTTAGTGCTGACACGAATTCACTGCACGCTGTTGATCAAATCATTTGATTGAATAGATTTTGGCTCCCCAGGAGACAACGGGGAGTTGTAAAGCCCTTTAAGACATATTGATATAAATTCCTTTATCGCTATTGTAATATTTTTTGCAGGGTGTTTTTGTTTCATTCGTTTCAGTTCTTCTGTCCAGCAATCAATTAAAACTGATGATAGCATTTAAGATTTTTCAAGAATACAAAGTGTCCTGGACATTGAGGGGCTAGACTTTCATTTCTACTTCAGTTTCACACCTAATTTATCACTTCTGCAGATAACTCTTGAAAACATACAGCTGAAAGCTCGTGGTGAAAATGTTGCTTCCCAATTGATATTCCAAAGCTTAAATTAAAAAAAATAAATAAATAATAAATTAAATCATATTGACTAAGAAGGAACACAGAGTCCAGGTCTGGTTTTTATAAGTGATTAGGAACATTGCCCTTTTTATGAACCCAGAGCTGGCACTGCTTGTTCTGGGATTCTTGCCTTCAGAATAAAGAATGTCTTTGTCATGAGCCCAAGCAAGAAAAGAGGGGAAGAAAAAAGTTTCAGGAGAAAATGAACAAAACATACACTTTTTCAGATACTTGAGAACTTAGAAGGTACCAAGAAAAACAAAAAAAAAAAGCTTGACTGAACAAGGAAGTTATTGAAAACTTCTCCCTTCTTCATTACATCTACAGAACAAATTAATTAGAAAGTTTTGGTTCATCTACCATCAATACAAGTACCAAGAGAACAGCACATCTTCCGCAAATTGTTTGGTTGGGTCATCTGACAGGGACCTGCCCAAACCATCCCCGGTGTTCCTGCTGCACAAGAGGTGATGCAGAGAGTGCTTTTGGGGATCCAGTTACTGTTTTACAATATTGAGAAAGATTTTTCATTTTTTCTCCTGCTGGCAAAATGAAGACAATAGAAGTAGCTGGACCAAAATTTGAAGAAAAATATGGATTCAAGCAGCTTAAAAGAACACAACTTCCAATCCATATGAATTGATTTTCATTCATACATTTATTTTATGTCATGGTTAGTTGAAAACTTTTGAAAGATGTCACTGCATCCTCGGCTTATTTCTTGGCCTTCCCCATAGGGTGCTTTTCACTGAAAGGTGGAGGACATCACGAGAGGAAGGGCCAACCTCCCCTGACACACAAAACACAGTCCGAAGAAAACCAGAGTTTGCAAAAGCTTGACAGGACTTTTTAGTTTTCACAGCAACATTTTGAACAGTCATTTTTTCATAAATGTCTTCAATTAAAAAAAAAAAAAAAAGCCAACTGTCAGCAAAATTGTTCAACTATAGAATTTAAATACAGTCCTAGTAAAAATGGATAATATCACATGCCGTCCTCAAAATATGCCAATTACTAATGTTGACAATTGCTCAGCTATTTGTACGTGTTAATTTGTACCGCCAATCTGTGAGAAGTAATGCAGCCGATACCACCACACTCTGAAAAAAAAACCTCATATTTTAATTGGAAAAATCTTGATATTCACTGAGGAACAATCTAACCTTGGAAAACAATCTTTTACCAATTTGTCTTTAATGCATAAAACACCGCTCATTTTCTGCGGTTCTTTCACCGAGGGGCACATTAATTTAGTTGCACAATAATTTAATACATCGATACATTGATTGAAGCAGAGAGTTTTTTATTTAGCGGTTCCAAGAAATAACACATTTCTTGCAGAATCTTTAAAAAGACACTTCTTGCTGCAGTTTAAGTAGGGGGAATTGCAGATCATTAGAGGAAGTTGCCCTTCAAAGCCGATTGATCATACCACACTGAGCACAGTGGGCTTTACATCAGAACAGAGCGAAGACTGGCAGGGGGCAATTAATGGGGCAGATACTGGAGTGTCTTTTCTGATTACCCCATACTGTACAGTGGATTTGGCCTCGCTGAGACAGGCTGGTAGAAACAAGAACCCTGATGAGATATGGCTCTGCTAATGTCAAGAAGTGCCACTTCCTAGCAGCAGGAGCAACTTTATTGAAACCATCTGTTGTTTTGGAAGATCCATGCGCACACACATACGCTTCCTCCTCCCAAAGCGTTTAACCTTTCTCTTCAGGATGAGTGAAATCGCACAGCTAATCCCTCCTTAATCTCAGAATAACAGGCCCTACTGTTTTTAGCAGCTCCCAGAAAATTTGCCTGACTGGTGGTGATTAGGTGATACGACAGTGATTTAAGCAGGGGCAGTCATTTCAGAACAAAATAGCCACACGTCCACTGCCACCACAAAGTTTCGCAAGGCTTGGGTGCCTGTGCAGAGGTGAGAAATCCATACCCCACTAGATCTGCTCTGCACGGGGGACAGAAAAAAAAAAAAAAAGTAGGGCCAAGTGGGCTGTCTGATAACCCCTTTTGCCAGCGAACACGACCCTCATCCATAGGGCTTTGTGGCCACTGTGCAAACTAAACGGTGTGTAAGGGCAACGTGCCCCTTCTAGAGCAGGAACAGGCACTTCTCTGGGCTCATCTCTGGGACCACATTTCAGCAAGAGGTTTTATCTCATCACCAAACCCTTCTGGCCACCACAGGGCCCTGCAGTGGTGGAAGAAGTGGCGGAGATGGGATGCCTTCTTGGGGCCATTTCTCTCCTCCATCAAGTTTCGCTCCTGTGTGCATGCCTGTTACAGAAACCCTGCTAGCTCATATGGAAAAACCCATACAAGTATCAAAAAAAAAATAAAATTGTCACTGAGGGCCTGGCCAGCTCCAACAGTTAAGAGATGGCTCTTTAGTGTGACAATATAAATATAAACAATTCAGTGGTAGGAAAGATGCAGGCACTCCCCTAAGACTGCAGGTGGCTAGGGAAAGCAGAGAGCAAAAATTAAACTGCCTCTTCTGTCTGGAACAAGCACAGAAGGTTGAACAAATTAGTTTTCCTTCCTACCTGGGGGAGGTGGCAGAGCTGCAACCACACTTGTTTGTTTTAAGGGAAAGTACAGTAAAATAGCATCACTCAAAGCCATCCTACATCCCTAGGCTCTTCAGAATTCATCACTCAAAGCTTCCTTTTTTTTCCCCTTCCAGTTCCTTCCCCTCTCTCCAGTAATTCTTGTTTTTAAAAGAACCTGAATATAGGGGAAAAAAAAAAACAACCCCCAGAGCCACAACTGGAAGGAATGCATCTCATTATGCTTTCAACCTAAAGAATATTGGTAGCTTAATATACTGGAGTTACTCCCATAACTTCAAGGCCTGTTGCCATAAAAAAAAAAAAAAAAAAAAAAACACACTACTACTGGGGTTGTTTGGTATTAAAGACTCAGCAAGTCAATAGGGGAAGGTAACAACAATGAACAACCCTAACATCCTTGAAAGGGTAACGGAGAGTATTTATTTTTAAATAAATCCCCCTGTATTTGAATTTATTTATTTTTTTTAATAGAGAAATAATCTCATTGTATCAGTTTTCATAAAGAAATCAGTTTAATGTGTGGTATTAGGTTTTCTAGATGTTGTAATACAGATGTCTCATTATCTACTATCATCTTACTTGGCCCATCCAAATTCAGCTGCATAACTTATACTGTGTGGATTCAATTTTAAATATATGACATGTGAAAGCTTCAGTTTACCTGTTCCTTGGCACTAGCAATTTTTCCATTTGTGGATTTAGATCCTTTTCTCATTGCAGTCAATAGTTTATTGACTAGAGGGACACTAGGATGAGGTCCAGGGAGCATGCCTGTTCTGGTATTGACTGCAAAGTGTATTTAACAGTTATGTATTAATAACAAAATGTTATTGCCTCTTAAATCTGCACAACAGAATAAATCAGAGAGCAGGTCAATTCCTAAAAGTTATTCACTAATACTGTTAGAACATAGGAAAGGAAGATGAATCATACTGGTATCTAGAATAGTCAGGTGAACAATGGGGTTTCCCCCAGTGTTTCACCACTCCCCTCCCAAGATACAGTCATGTAGGTTTTGCTCACTGTAGTTTTTTTGTTTGTTTTTTTGCTAGGTAAGACTGTCTACCTGCAGTCATAGTGCAATAGAGTGAACCTGAGGTGCTCAAATCTTCCATAGTTTTCACCTGGCTCCAAAAGCTTCAGTGGTTATGGGACCCTGGGCTAGGGAAACTCTAGCTGTATCTAGACTGTCCCCACACACCCTGCCATGGCATCTCTGAAGGAGCAAAGGAGGCCTTCTAAACAGAGGTTTTTTAGGGTCTTTATTTTACCTCTACAGTCTGTCTTGATGGTATATGGGAAATAATTATCTGTTTAAAATGCCTTTATTTTTTTTTGAACTGCCTTTTTTGAAATCCTGACACACCACAGCTTCAAAGCCCGGAACTGTGTTCTTTATACAAAAGGCCTTGAACTCTCTCCGGGCAGACCACTTTCATATCCTCTTGGATGGAACACTTTCATATCCTCTAAGCTCATATATTTCATGGTAATAAGCTGTGGGATTTAGCTGTGCTGTGACAACATGCCTACTCTTTTACCTAGCAGAATAAAGAAGAGCTTTCCTAGCAAAAATAGTTGAGATAAAATGGTTTACATGATACTTGCAGCTAGCAGGGCATTCACTTTTGCGCTACTGGGGGTGGGCTTCCAGAATTTCAAAGGTGACTATTTAAGAATGACACTGTCACCATATCTTGAGTATGGAACTTTCTTAGGCTTCTTTGATAAATAGATACATTGACATAGAAGTTGACGTCCATATACAGATACCTGAATTATCCTGCCATAACATCTATTCATATTTAATCAATTTTTTTTTTTTGCTTTAATATTAATCTAAGAAGTTACCCAAGGCCACATTGGAGTTGAAAGCCAAGATTCTTATTAATCAGACTCAGATGGGGCCATGCTGGGCTGCAGCATATGAATTGCCAGCCCCTTGTTCCATTTGCAGCAATCATCCAGGCTTCAGCCCATCATTTTCACGTTGCAGCCATGAGAGTTTTCTCACTCTGTCCTCCTTTGAGGAATGTAAGAAAAAAAAAAATGAGGTCAGCAATTTAGAATTGCTACTTGGAGATAGTGTGACCAATTTAACTTAGAGCACATTGTGAAAGACACTTGCAAAACCCATCAGTTCAGTAAAGAAAGGAACTGGTAAGGTCTTCCAAGAGACTGCACAGCCCACAAGCCAAGATGTTGACCTGGTGTGCGAGGGAATGGGAAGCTCTTCTTTTGAGGCCTTATCTCAAAGGTCAAACTACTTACCCCAAATGATCCCTCAACTCAAAAAGGTGCAAAGGTATCATCTTGTAGAGTAATAATGTGCCTTCAAAACCAAGCCTGCTGACCAGCCTGAAAGCAAGCCTACTAACAGGGGAAGGTGTGGGGTCAGCCAGGGCTCTGCATGCCCATCAGCTCCTTGCAGAGTCTTCAGGCCCTCAGCAGCCTCACCAGTCCCTCCCAAGCATTTAATAGCATTCCTCCACCTGCTGCTGGAGCACCGCTCCTACTGCCCCCATGCACACCAGAAGGCAAAGCTTGTCAGCCACGCAAGCAGCGTGGAATTGAAGGGCAAGGAGCATCAGTTATGGTGCTCATTATTTCTTTCAGATCCATGGTGCTTGCTTGTCAGAGGCAGGGAGAACACTCAGAGCTCTGTTCTTTTACTGATATTAGCAGTATAATCACTAAAAAGAAAAGTAATTTTAATGCCACTTCCAGAGACCATTCTCATTTCTAGCATGTGCTGCTCAGGCAAGATCTCAGGACAATCTCTTATTCACCATTCTCTTTATACTTTAAGCTATGGGAAATTAGTTTTCCTCTATTTGCCAAAGAAAATAGCAAGTGTTCTTCAGGGATCTGATAAGACAATTAAGTACAATTTTTTAGCAGCTAGCATATCTGTTCACTGCAGATAAAAGATTCAGATCTTTATAAATAAGGATTGTATAAGTTCAGATCCAAATAAAGATTCATATTTTTATCATGAAAAGGTTTAAATCCAATTCTACCATAGTCAATAAGAAACGTCCCTTTGAGGCAAAGGGAGTGCTGGGAGAAAAATTCACTAAAAGACAGTCACTTTGCTGAGCGGTGGTGAGCAAACTCTGGGGCACAACTTAATTCTTTCACTGACAAAAATACCAACGCTTGGGAAAGGAAAAGCATGCATTTGCTGAGGTTTGCTTCTGTCTGCTAATGGTAATATTGTCTTCTGTAGTTTCTACAGTGTTGATATGCAGACTAATGATTACAGGCTTCCTTCCAGTCAACAGTAATGAACCAAGACATGCACACATACATGGACATAATGTGAATATATTTACTACACAATCTATTGTACATGCTTATAATTTGCCTCTAGTATACAGGCATTTTGCTAAACAGATAGACCTGGAAATAGATACTACATGCTTGTGAGCATAGTGCATCTGTTTCCTTTAATATAAAAAAGCCTTACCTTCCAGACAGAGGCCAGGCTCAGCTCACTGTCTCATTGTTCTCCTCTATCTACAGCTGAAGTGTGGGATTAGTTCCACTCTCTGAATTCAATGCATAGCTAAGCTTACCTGATGTGACTTGAGGACAGCTACTCAGCAGGGAGGTTTGAAACCTAATAGTGGAACAGGAACAGGGAAACTCCCCAGCGACTACAGTGCACCAGCGTGTGAAAGCTGGAGCTGTCATTTCAACGGCACGTCAATACGCGAGATGTGGACTGGCTCTTGGCAAGTGTGCCCAACAGAATGAGCTGCGGTTCCAGGAGAAGAGGCTTGAATATCAGTAAGAGAATGGAAAAAAAAAAAAAAAACAAAAAAAACCACACACACACACAAAAAAACACAGTGCCATCATTTTGGAAAATTAGCTTGATTGGAAAAGCTCACATTACAAAGTTTGGAATTTAAGTCTTTCAAAAGCTGTTTGTGTTCCCCCCAAAAGAACCTGTGTTTTATTTCATAAATGTTAAGGAATAAAGAGTGGGGAAAGAAGTAGCAATGACAAAAAGAAGATAAGCCAACTCTGAGGGCAACGGGAAGCTGTGAAGGCTACGCTGCAGTGCTCCACATGCAAACAGCTGTGGCCATATATCAACTTTGTCACCCCTGTCCCCTGCCAGATCTCACCTGGTATGTCAGAGGATTCAGTGCCTTTTCTTTCAGTCTGAAAGACAAAATAACAGAGCAGGAATGCCTTGCAGAGACAGAATTTGTTTCTTACAGCAGTGATCTCACTCCAGCCTCTCCTTCACCAAATAAGTCCATAGAGCTCTGTACATACATCAACATTTCTGTTAAATCTGTCAGCACAACAACCCAAACATCCTCCCCTTCAGTGAAACTCTTGCCAACAGGACTTGGCTGCTGCTGCATGCCAGTGATTTCAGTTTGCTCAGACACAAGGGGCTGGTATGGATCCCTGGGCAGTCGAAGAGCCTTGTCACCAATTCTGCATCCTCCTGGACAGGAGCTCCCAGGCAGGATCCCAGACTGGTGTCAGTGGGCTGCCTCCTGCTGTCATCCCAGCAGCTAGGTGACATGGAGATAACACTGCTGAAGATATCTATACATTACCATGTCTCAGAAGAGAGCCAGAAGGATCTTTTCCTTCACTGGGCTTACTTTTTGGTGACACTAGATGGATCTACTCAGCAGTTCCTGTATTAATGTCACACCGTGCTTTTAGGGATTGTGACTGTGCCTACATATACCCTTCAGAGGCTCTCATCAGTTTTGCCTACAGCTTTTTCCGTGCTCAATAACTGCTGTTGTTCACATTCAGTCTTACCTACACTTTTCTACCAGCCCACTTCACAGCAGGGTGGGCTGGCAGGTAGTTGGTCATAATGACACGTGAACTTCAAGGTGAACTTCTTGGTTGTGTTAGAATTCTAGCAGAAAACAGGTTGCTTCTTGCAGACTGCATTTAGAGAAATACCATGAATTATATCTAATGTTATATGCTGTCTTTTTCCATACTTTTATGGAAGCTTACACACACACACCAGTGAGTTCCAACCTGTAGCCAGACCTTCAGCTTCTACCACTATTCTGTTGATTTTGAGGCTAAGTATTTCTGATCTTCAGCTGTGCACTTTAGCATCATTTCAGAGCCATAACAGAGTTTTGCTGTTTTACACCAGTGAAACATCCTATCCTGAAGGCAAAGCTCAGGAGAACTCCAGCAGGTAATGAATGCAGTCCAATTTCTAACCCACAATATTCATTTCAAGGCCAGGATCTTTCAAACTCCCTGTGCTGCTGCACATTACCTGCCAAACCTTCCCACACTTGCAGACTGGAACCAGAAGAGTTGATTAGACATAGTCAGTAAATAACATGGGATGAAAACAAATTTGGTAGTAAAAAGACCCTTGAGAATTTAGAGAAGAGTTCTATAGCCTTTCAATTTATTCATGATTTACTAGGAAGCGGTATAATAAAGCCGGCCTAAGAACTAGCCTAAATGCTTCTTAGGCCAAAATATCCCAATTTAAGTAGTGAAGTTGTATACTGAAAGTCTGGAGAACTGTTTAAAGTAAACTTAAAAAAAAAAAAAAGACACTCCCTTCCCTCAACACCAAGTCTTTGATTAAAAAAAAAAAAAAGGCAACAAAAATGCTAATCTTTGCTGTTAAGCAGAAAGACTTAAAAAGTGGCTAACAAACACCATGAATTATTCAGGGACTGGGTTACTGCTATTCTACATACATTGCTTCAGAATGTGAGCTCAAAGCCACACAAGCAAAATCAATTCTGTGAACGCTACAGTGATAAAATAAATTCAAATAATCTCCTTTAATTGCATTAACATAATGTATCCTTCCTCATCTGTGAGGAGATGTAACTTAACTCTCCAGAAATGAAGGGCTCAATCCCAATCTAAATTAAACAGGTTTTATATGCACTATGCTACTCCAGTAGGACAAGTATTACTTTATTTTGTATAGATATGGTCAGAAACGGACCCGTTCTTCAGTCTAATAGTGACTAAACACCCAGGAGTATTGAAGATTAAAAGATCAGAAGAACCCATTTAACGTTTCCATTTAAAGTTTCCACAGTCATAACCATCGTCACCTTCCCTAAATCCAGAAGAAACTTTGACTCCTTGTAGGCCGAAATCTGCCCCAATTGCTTTCTGGGTTACTGCTGTAGACAGCCGGGTTGGAATAAATATACCCAACGTCTGGCCATGCTGTAGAAGTGTTTAAATAATAGAGTATCAGCGGGACAGGCCAAACTTTGGCCCTGCTAAACCCAGGGATGTAAATATGCAACAGGTAGGGGAACTCCAAGGCAGGCAGAGTAGGCCGGGATGTAGTGCCTCATCAACACCACCTCAACACAGTTTGCAGTGTGTTTGTTATGGGTACCCAAGGTCACCAGGGCCCTGGGAAAGCTTGAAAGAAAAATATAGTGTGTATATGACACATCTCTTTAGCAAGAAAAGGGAATGGGGAACATACAGGCCTGTGGCCACCCAGAGAGCCTGTTCCAGAGCAATTGCCCAGAACTGAGACCCCAGAAGGGAACCTGTGGGTTAAAGTCGCTCTGTGTGGTTGGAAGGCCTCAGTAGCCTCCACACATCTACCATTGAGCCATTTTCTAGCCTGGGGGCTTGCTGAGAGGCATTGGGGTACCTTTGATTCCCCTATAACTTTGCCACTCGCCTACAGGCCCTCTGCAGACATTTTGTGTTTTGTAAAGCCTCTGGCCTACTGGGCTGTTTGGTGCTCCACAGAACTCATTATGGAAACATACACAGACTTATTTGGGGAATCAGGATCAGAAATTCATTAATAAACTTTTTTTTTTTTTTTAAAAAAAAAAAAGGTGGCTGCATCTGACTCAGCATCTTAGAAGCACAATTTAGAGAGGAGGGCAGTGAGTCCCCGAATGTATCTCCAGCCAAGCACCTGCAGAACCAGGGCCACACAGAGACATACAAGCCCAGCTCCGTGCTGCTGTCAGCACCCACAGAAACAGTCACAGAGATTTTGGTACACATTAGTAGTTCTGCAAGAGACTAGCCTTTACCCCAACACACAAAAAGTACTTCTAGGACTTACCTTAACTTGTGATTCACTGAGTGCCACAACACTAGCATCGGGAATTTCTGGGGGCATGGAGCCCCCCCCCCCCCAATAGCTTTAATAAATCTACACAGCTGTGAATATAATATCAGGGGAGACAACTCATTGATAGTCTCACAAGGAAAATCACCTGATGCTTCAACTCATCAGGTTAATGAAGGAGCCAGTGTGGTAGCAAATGGCAATACCATTAACAGCGCAGCTGTATGCAATGATTTGTTTTCTGTCAATGAATTTTGGGAGGGGCTGGAAAGTAGAAAAACACTCACAGAGAAGCTCAGTTACAAAAATCCAAAGGTAAAGTTCCCAATTAAACACATAGCAGTCAAGTTAAAATTATAGGTGACAATTACTGTAACTTGATTAGGCACAATAGCAAATTCACTTCCCTAAATCACTTTCACAACTCTCCTAGGAGGTCTGAAAGATGTAGTATATGAGGTTCATTTAATTTCTAATGTAGTAATTATCACTACTGAATAAAAAAAATAGCGGTGACAGACCCAGGAAATAAATTTAGCACTTGAGGTTTTAATAAAATTTTTATGTGCAACCCCGTTGGTTAGAAATTGTTTAATCAATCTTATCTGGTTCACAGCCTTTCTGCTGAGCTTTCGCTTCATGTTATTACAAGGCAATATGCTGCAGCACCTTCTTAGCATCCCAAGCTGCAAAGCCTGAGTGCTATTGCTATCCAAGACTAGCACATGCTCTGTTTGGAGATGTGAACACCCACAGTTTTGTTCACGTGTTGCCAGTTGTTTTCAGGTTATGCAGCTGGTCATAGGTGCTGGTAACTTGAAAGCAGGGCCTAGCCCACTCTGAGTGTCTGCACGATGGAGTCTCTGCTCTAGATGGGAAATTATTTCTGTGGCAGGGGTATCTAAGGAGCTTCATCATGTTTTCAAGATGTTAGTATGTAGGAGATGCTGCCAGTCCTTTCTGAAGGAGCTTCATGCTCTCAGCTTTAGCATAACACTTCTAAAGGCATCCATTCTGGCTTCTCCAAATGCCAGGGCAGTGGTTTGCACAGGGGCAGCGGAGGGTGATAAAGAAACTAAGTCCATGATCCACAGCTACTGGAGTTTCTGAAATTTTCCTGACTCAAGTTTTTCCTTAGATTTTGAGCTTGCCTAAGCTGCTAGGCACAGGTAGAGAGAAAGAGCTGAACCCAGACCTCCTGTCCTGCTATTTGCCGTGTCACTGCCCTGTGTAAATTAAGCTGAAATGGTTTATTTCTGATTGCAAGCCAGGGCAGCTCGAGTAGCAGAGAGGTTAAAATGCAGTTATTAGTATATAAGAGAGAAAAAGGTCATTAGCTGGAATCCTGGCCTGTTTTTAGTATTTCCTTTATTTAACCTAAATAGGCCATCTCCACTGCTGAACAAAATTACTCTCACTGCCAGGCTGTTTAAAATGCTCACTGTTTTATAGAGTGCCACAAATTACATAGTGCCATTTTAGTTGGGCGTTGGTACCATTCAGAAATGAGCATGGCTGGGCAGAAAGTAATACAGAAGGTACTGAAGGCAGTAATCACTTTGCTTTCTCCAGTTTTATCCATCAGAAAAGTGGACTCTCCCCTGTAATGGGATTTAGCTGGGCTCCGGCTCCTTGCTGGCACTCTCTGCCCAAATACACACATCAGTCACTCAAGTGTTTTGGATTTGGTTTTCTGTTTGCAGTTAGTACACTAATAATTTCTGGAGTGACCCAGTGGCAGACAGGTAAATTGGTAGTCCCCCAAATTGATATAAAAATCAATAAATTGTGAATGGCCACCAAACCCCACAGCCTGTGGCCTCCTGACCCAGCCTTTGGTCTCTGTCTGCCTGGGCCTTAATGCCAGCTCCACTGGGGACTTTGCAGGCAGGGATGTACAACAGGGGCAGTGATGGGACTCAGCAGTGATGCAGCCAGCACCATCCAACGTCTTCCAAAACCTCTTGAGACCAGGGGGTCAAAGATGTGGGATGCCACAAGTCCTGAGCGCCTCAGAAAGTGGGTGATTAGAGTTAGCAGTTGCTTTAACCAGGCACCCCAAAATCCCCATGACCTTCAAAAATCCCAGTCATTGCTCTCATCTGTCAGTGCAGCACCAAAGCCGTGACAAAAATGATTAATTAAAGCACAGCCCAAGACATGAACGCTCTCTCTTGCCTTTTAAAGTTGGAGTCTGGGTGTCGTTTTGACACACCGAAGGACTCCAGCATACAGACCATTCTGACAGCCCATATGGGCAGGTTGCTGAGGGAGCACAGAGGGAAGCTGTCCTCGGGGTAGCCGGGATGCTGAGAAATCCTCGCCTGCATCTTCTCTGGGAGCTGCTAGGATCCGAAGGCCACTGCTGCCATCTGGTGTCACTGTCACCAGCCCGGCAGGACAGCAGGACGGTGCAGGCTGCAGGAATGCGTGCAGCAGGCTAGGGGGAACGAGAAGAGACTTGGGCCCAGATGCTGAGGAAGGACAAAGTCTTCCCTGGCAAAGGATGGCCAGCATCCAGCATCCAGCTCCAAGACCTTTTCAGACCAAGAGACTTCTCAGGCCTGCTTCCGTCCCTTTGCCACTGCGCTGCTGCCTCCAGGCTGTCGGAGCAGTGTGTGTGTGACACGGGGCCGCAAAAGCCTGGATTTGGGGCAGCACCTGGGGGCTGAGCAGGGTGCTGGGCTCCCCGAAGACCCCCCAGCTGTGAGATCCTGGCCCCAGCACCGGGTGCTGCCCCGATCCCTATAATATCCCCCCCACACACACAGCTGCCCGCAGTGCTGGGTGTTTTGGACCCTGCCAGGGGACATCAGTGACATTAATTAGGTAACCATCTGCAGATGTCTCATGCGATTTCGCCTGTCCGTGATGCATCACTGGGCATATTTGCATCCACTTAACTCCCAGGAAAGCAAAATAGATGGCAGCAATCTGGCATTTGCCACCACCATGAGAGCTTGCAGGGCTGTGGCCCAGAGCCGTGTGGGCATTTCTCCACAGAAGTTACCCCATGTGCACCAACACGGATCCTGGGGAAGGGTCAGGTCCTGGGAGCACCAGGGACCTGCTCTGGGGCCCAGGGACCTGCTGGCTGTGGGCATCAATAAGCCCTGGGTGCCCCAGAGAGCTCACCCCGTCCTGCCGCCTGTGGGCGAGCCAGGCCAGCAGGGCTGATGTGCTCCTGATTTATGAGGAATGTTTCCTGCACATGAAGGAGTGATTTATTTCAAAGAGATCAGTGACAAAGGAGATGTCGTGCCTCTTGTCACCACAAAGGATGATCTCCCTTGGCATGGGCAAGTTACCGAGCAGACACCGCTCCTGGATGCTGAGAGACCCAGGCCACATCACGAGAGGGGAGGGTCCATGGCCTCCCATTCCCTCAGGAGACAATTATATCCAGCAGGTAATCAGGCCAACAAGCCCAGGTATAAATTTAAAGTGATGCCAATAGAAGGACTCACTCATCACAGTCCCTTTTGCTGTCAGCAGTTTGGAAAGCCGCAGCTTCTAGCTGAACTGCCTAGCACTAAAAGCAGCTAAATCAATTCGCCAGCAATTACAGATCCAGGGCACAGATTTGCAGCAGGAGAGGTGCTCAAAGATCTCTCCTGAGGGACAGCGCTAAAGCTAAGTTTAAGGATATTCCTGAAGTGTTATTTCTTAAGTGCTCTTCTCCTGGATGCCCGCTCTCAGACCTCCCCGCCTGCCCAGCAGCGATGGATGCCTGTGTTACACCCTACAGACATGGGCTTGGCTTTACACACTGTGAAGAGCCCCCCGAAATTGTGTGAAGGTGAAAAATGGGGATTACGATGTTGGCCAGGGGTGTGGGATGAGCTGTGTTCAATTCCCTGCTTTGACAAGAGCCTCATTTGCTATTTAGAGCAAGGGACACAGGGACAGTGTCCAGAAGCCCCTGGCTGTCACTTCATCACCTCCCCGCAGCCTCAGCCTCAGGCCATGGCTGGGAAATGAAATCCCCCTGCAGAAGGCCCCTGATGCTCATCTTATCATGGGACCCAGGTGCAATGCTAACAGGGCACTGGCACCCTAACTCAGGACACAGGCAGGTGGGGGGACGGGAGCAGCAAACAGCCCGGTGCAGACTGGTTAAACCAAGGAGTTGCTTCTAGAAAAGAAGAAAATATTTCCTGGGAAAGTCACGCAGATAGAAATAGGGCTTTGCTTCCATTCCCTAGCTATCTCCTGTGTCATCCCAAATCTCTGTGTGGCCAGTTCTCTGCAGCATCCCCATGCAGGGGGCTGCGCCCCCACTGGTGGGGCAGGATGGGGCAGCAGCGCTCACCCCTCTGCTGAGCCCCCCATGCTCTCTTGTGTCCATCTGAGCCAAGGAGTCCCCGGAAATAACCACAAAGTTTTCCCAGAGCTTCAATTTGCTGCAATTCCTGTTCTTTAGGCGCTGCCCCATAAAAAAAGATCCGCAAGTTAAGCATGAAATAAAGCCCGCAGGAAGGGAATAATCATTATTTGATCAGCTCCCAGGGTATCAAATAGCAGTAAATTGAGCTTCAGTTAATAACCAGACAATTTTCAGTGTCATACTGCTACATTTTCAAAGCTAATTTAACTATTCCATTAAAAAATGAAAACATATTCAAATTAAAACACCCATAAGATATGAAGGGGGGGGGGAGGAAACCTCGTTGGAGAGAGGACCTGAAATGCATCAGTAATTTCCCGTCAGGCTACAGCTCCCTTAACTGACCATGACAGTCGAAGATGAAATAGAAATTTCTATATCAAACAGGAACACAAAGGAGAGCTGACCTTTGATCAAATGTCTGCTTGTAGTTTTGACAAGGAAATTTGCATTAAAGGAATTTATGCTGGACACTTACATGAGAAGTTAGCTCCCAGCATGGAAAGGAAAGGAGAGGTCAAACCATCCTTAACCGGCCTGTCAGATGAAAGCCGCACTCTCCTCGCTGCATGGCTATGGGAAGTTTCGAGCCGTTCAGGCTCTCTGTTTAATGCCCAACGCCACAGGTTTTGCGAGGAGAGTTTTCAAAGCAGTATTTATTCAGGGCTGGGCAAGCCCGTTTCAGGCAAACAAAGGCGTTCGCGCAAAGCAAATGCACTTTTAGCACAGCGGCAGAAGGCATATAAAACAAATCAAAAAGTGCCAGCTACTTTGAATATTGGAGCTGCAGGCTTGGCTGATCCTCCTTGTCTTCCTGCAAATAAAAAAAAGGAAAGCAG